AGAAATCAATCCCAGAGAGATGAGACGCATGAAGGGAAGCCCACGAGACTTTCAGGTGACAATGTGGTGAGAACGTCCTTTGCAGCCTCCAGGTGGGGAAGCGTTTCCTGAACCTGACATAAAAAGACATAAGCTTTAAAAGAAGGACCGATGCATGTGACCTGAAAGAAAGAGAAGCCATAGTCTTGGAGATGATATCTACAATATGTAATTAATAGAGGATTCAGGGTCAGAATTTTTTTAAGAATTCCCCTGAAGCAATAAGAAAAAGACATCCCAGTTAAAAAAAATAAAAAGGATAGAGACATAAATTCAGAAGCCAGTAAGCACGTGAAAGCTGCAGTGTCACTGTCACCGCGGAGGACCAAGTCCGCCTCAGCGGTTCCCTCCCGCCCACAGGGCAGCGCGGGCAGTGTGTGGGGGAGGGGCTGTTTCCCGCAGCCCCCTGTGTGTTTCTCACGTGCTGTCTTATTGGGCCGCACAGCGCAGCGTTGCTGTTGGCGCAGTGCAGACGCCGTCACTGGGTGACAATTGCGTCCATGGAGGAGGCGGGGACTTTTATCAGTGTCTCAAGTTCCTGCTTTTGCTTTTTTGTCCTGTGGATCCTGTGGCAGTTGTCACAGAAATTGCTTTGATGCCCACGTTATGCAAGCGCCTGCCCGTTGAACATGCCTGGTATGGCCCCAGCGCTCTGGGAGGGGAGGGGACAGCGGCTCAGCTGTCCCTGGGTGGGCACAGGTACAGGTCTTCACAGTGTAGCAGGGGCTGGGCCTCCCTGGGCCTGTGTCTCTGGTACCTGCCTGCCTTTTCCAGCAGGTTCCATAGAAGACCCTGTGAACTATTTTTCTGTTTTCTAGAAGTTTTGGAAACTTGGATCTGAAAAGTGTAGGAGGGCATTTGAACTATAACTGGGATGTGTTTTCATTTTTACCCCCATTTTCTTCTCTCTCTCTCTCTCCTGGTGCTGTCTCGTCTTTTCTGGTCTCTTCTCCCTCTTTCTCAATCCTGAGTGGAGCAAATCCCTAGGGCTGGGGGAGCCGGCGGCGTTTGTCACGGAAGCCCTAGGTTGAATGGCACAGGACTTGCTGAGTGACCTTACGTCAGTCCCAGTGCAGGCTTGGGACTGGTCTAGTTGAGACAGAGCCGGGGTCTGGGGGTGCCAGCCAGACGCCCGCAGGACGTTACTCAGCGTTGCCAGGCCCTTTATCCAAGTGTGAAGGAGGGGAGCAGGCCAGGCGAGGCGAAAGCTGGGTGCCTGGGCTCCCAGGCCGTGATCCCAGGTAGGTCCGTGGTTGCATGTCACACAAGGCGGAATTCCGGAAGCCAGCTGTCCTGAGGGGGGACGCTGCGTTACAGCAAACCGTTGTTTTTCAGCTAGTTCCTAGCATCTTGAAACAGACTCTGCTGACTATTCCTTGGCGAGCATGATTCGGTCCTCTGCAGTGGCACGTGTGACCGTGTCTCTGTGTACCCGTGCTCTGTCACCATGTGAAGGGGGTCAGGACGCGTGCTCCCAACTTCTCGTCTTCTGCACGTGCGGCTATGGCTCCCTGCGCCGGGGATGAGGAGTAGCAATTACGGAAAGCGGGTTTCCAGAACTAGGTTCCCAGACGGAGGCAGGCTGGGAGGAAGCCAGCCCGCAGCAGGCGTCTCGCGGCCCCGGGCAAGTGCTGCTTCGCCTCCTTCCTTGTTGGATGTGGAGTTTCCCGCCACGGCTTCCTCCCGGTCCTAGAAAGGCCAGCCGAGGAGATGAATGCGGGACGCGTGTTTCTCGTACCCCTTTCTCTTCAGCTCACTGTGGACCGGGATGTCTGCAGCAACAGAGCGGTAAGAGGCGAGCAGTGGCTCAGGGACACCCCGTCTTCATGGACCTGTCACGTGTCCCACGCGGCTGTGTTCCCGCCGTTTGTCATTTCTTCCTGGCGAAGCGTGTTCACCTCCCGGCCACCTGGGCTCTTGCTTGTCCCCTCAGCCCCTGTAGCTTCTGCTCCTTCAGATGCAGCCTGTGTCCCTCTTGGTCCCAAGGCTTCATCCAGGACCTTGCGGGAGGCGCTCCGTGGAGTGGGTGCATTTTCCTGTGATTTGATTTGAATCCTCCAGAGGCCGGAGGAGGCACTGCATGTCGCTGTGTTCCCTGTGGCCTGAACCTGGGTCTTTGCCCTGTGATGTCGGGGTCCCCACCACATGCCTGGGGTCGTGGCCTGGGGCTCGGTCTGGGCACCGGGACCAGGTATGGGAGGACCCTGGAGCAGGACTGGGAGGCGCAGTGCTCGTCTGCACACCCTTATCTGCGCCTCGTCTCCTGTGCCCATTCCTGGTGGCTGTGCTACTGTCAGCTTCTGCTCAGAGATGCTCCTCTGTTGGGGTGAGGCCTGCCGTCACCGGTCTGTCAGTTGCCTCCTGTGAAAACAGCTGTTTTTGGCCTTTGTCACCCTCCTTTGTCATGAGGCTGCAGTCTGCTTAAGGCGTCCTGGAGAGTGCGTGTCCGCGGAGGCGCTTTCGGCGGTATTTCCAGCTGTCGCAGGCTCAAGCTGCTTGCCTGCCATCTGCTGCAAGTGTCGGGTGACAGGCCACTCTGCGGTGCCCACTGGTGTTCGCGGGCAGCGCCACATGGTGGCTCCTTTCTGGAGAGGCGGGCACTCCATAGTAACCTAATGCCAGCTCAGAACACTTTCCCTCCGATCTAAGTGTGACCGCATCAGGGTGGGGACGTGACTTTACAGGTTGTCCCGTGTCAGCCAGCCTGGCCTTGGGCACCGGGCACTAGCAGCCTCTCACAGAGCTGGTGGGATGTGTTTGGCTGCAGGTTCCCGTGTGGAATCTGTCACGTGCTTATCAGGTGGCCGTGTTTTCTGAGGAGCCGGCTGCTTCATACATACAGTTCATTTCTTTCTGATGACTCAGTAGGACGTACCCCAGGCCCGGGCCCAGAAATGCCTGGGATGAGCCAAGACCCAGCTCGGCCCCCCAGCGATTTAAAGCACATGGCGGCGGCTCTCGCTTCTGTCCTGAAGCGATGGCGTGCAGATTTCATCCCGCTTAGCGTGTTTAGAGGGACGTGCTGTTATGCATCATTAATTCACATGGTTTTGGAGCAGCTAGACCCTCAGGCCTCGGGGCAGTCAGTCCCAGCTCCACAAAAGGTCTGTGCGTGAGCTGGGGGGCTGGGCCCTGCTGCCCCGAGGCCTGGGAGCCGCAGTTTCCTCATTAAGACGCTGCGGGACTGGCGTCCGAATTTCTTAAGTGTCTCTGGTTCTAGAGCTTTGTTCAGATGGGAGCTGAGGCGAGAGCACTGAGGAGGGAGTGCGGGGAGGGCGGTGTGGGGCCCCGCGTCCTCAGCCCCGGGCTCACCTGCGGCTCCCTCGGCAGTTCCGAGATGCCGTCAGCTGCTGCGAGAGAGTTCACAGTGAGTTTTCCAGTGTTGAAAATGAATCATTGCATTGGAAAATGAAGTCAATTTCACTTACTCACACCCAGGAGGAGGGTTTGAGATGCACTTCCCATGCCATGTTGGTCTCTGCCCGAGTGGCAGTGAGGTGCCCGTGGCCTTGGGTTTCCAGCCAGTGGTCAGGCCACCTCAGGGTGGTCGTGTTCCTGGAGAACAGCCCTTGGTGCCAGCATTTGGGACAGTTGTGGGCTGGTGTCCGCTGCCAGGGTTCAGCAAAGGCCTCCAGTCCTCCTGACTCAGGAAGCGCGGCTGGCTTCACCCCCAAATGTTTCTCCTCGTAACTTCTGATACCTTCCAGTTGCCAGAGTTGGGGAGGGTGCTGCTGTGGGAGAGGAGTTGCAGGCCCCCGTGTTTGGCTCTGCAGCGCCCAGCAGCGGCCATCCTGGCGGGCACAGCCAGGGCAGCGCCGTCCCTCCGGTGGGCCCGATGGCGGGCACCCCGGGAGCCTCCTCCATGGTCCCCAGATCTCAAGAGCAGGCGTTGAGATCTCCCCAGGGTCACTGTTTTGTCCTTGGATTTAGAACATCTACAAAGTCACGCAGGGGTTGCGTAACGGAATCTGAGGGCTGCGCGAGGTGCTGCTCACTTTGGATAAAAAGCGCAAGCCTTCGCTCCAGAGCCCGTGGAACTGGCAGTGTTTGTGTCACAGTGGGGACGTCAGCCTGAGGGGCTGCTGGCCGCTCTGTGACACTGCTGTGTCCCCCTTAGATCAGTAACGGGGTGCCTTCCCCGTCAGCGTGTCCAGTGCCTCCTCCTGCAGGCCCTCTGCACCACTTGTCAGAGCTGATTTTAGCAGGAAGTGTGATTCCTGGAAGTTTTGCCAGAGTTTTCTTTCTTTCCTATCTGAGGGAACATGGAAAATGTCAGGCAGTCTCCATGCAGCCCGCAGCGGGCTTGGGCAGTGGCTGGGTTCCAGCTCTGTCTTCGCGTGGAGCCTGAATTCATGGAAACAGTTCCAAGTACAGTCAGAGGGGCTTTAAAAGCCGCACTTCTGTGCGTTCTCAGTACCTGGCCAGGTGTTTCTCTGAAGCACGTTTGTGTGTCTTCCTGCATTTCTTGTCTGGCGCACCAGCACACCCACAGCTGTTTGGAGCCGCCGCCAGAGCTGCGTCCCTGGCATCCAGGCTGCTTGTCGGGGGCCTGTAACCCTGGCGCCCAGGCCGCCTCTCAGTACCTGGGAGGAGGGGCTTAGCTCTTCAGTTTTTGTGATCTTAACGCTGCTATGGTCTCTGCAGAAAAGCTGGTTCCTGAGGAGCACAAGTAGGTACAACGTGGTTGCTAAACAGAAGCGAGCCAAGACAGCCCGGCTGGGGGTTGGTGTCTGCCACGTGCCATGTGGGGACTGTTTGAGTTAGGCTACAAAGGAACTTCTATTTTCTGGTTCAGGAAGTAAAAATGACCTGTGATGGAATGAAAACCATGTCCTTTGACAGTACAAGGACACCTGCGTTTTCATTGTTTGCGAGGGGCTGCTCCGAGCAGATTCTGAACGTACAGTATTCTCCTGATACGTGAGCAGTTTCTGAAGCCACATGCTTTCTCTGTCCCGCAGATGGACTTTCTGGCCGAGACCAGCCTGTGGAGCTGCTGAACCCTGCCCGCGTGAACCACATGCCCAGCACGGGTAAGTCACACCCACCCCGGGGCGCCGGCTCACCCACGGCCGTGGGAGGCCCCACTGTACTGGGGGGCCTGGAGAGAAGCGGGTGGGCTGTCAGCTCCATGCCGGCCGCCCTTTTCCTGGGGCAGAGCAGGCCGCCTGTCCTGGGAATGCTTGGGCGCGGCTTGGTGCCGTTTAGGTGGCAGAGAAACACACACCTTTCTGTCCAGGCCGGAGGCTGTGCTCAGTGTGAGCCGGAGCGGGACCCGGCTCCCAGGCAGCACAGGACCGCTGCGGTGACACTGTCCCGGCCCCGGCCTCTCACTGGTAACCTGAGTGCATGCGATTATCTCCTAAGCACTTTTGGGTTCTTTAATTAACAGAAGAGCATTTACTGTGATTAGAAGCTCTCATTCCATATACACCACTTCTAAATAGGATGCTTTAAGGATGCGTTCCAGATCCACAGGGCCGTGGAAGCAGTTTTTTTCCCGTTTCTGTACGCCTCTCCCTGTGCGGTGTCCTCCAGGGTTCACACCCGGTGTGGGAAGTGTTGGCTCTTCACAGGCCACTTGGCCTGATTGAGAAAAAAACGAGCCTCCCAGGGGCCTGGGGTGTGAGGGAACTGCTGTCACTCCCCTACGTGTGTCCTTAAGGGCGTCTGAGGGCGGCTCTGCTGGACCCCTGCCTCCGCGGGGCCAGAAGGCCTCTGCCTGTGTGTGTTTGCTCCGAGGCCCCTCCTGGGCCCCGGCTCCCCGGGGCCCGCTCTGCCCCTGCCCCCGCCCTGCTCCATCCGACTCACCACTGCCTGACGTTCCTGGGCCCCTGGCAAGGCAAAGCCTGAGGCAAGGCCCCCATGTCAAAGAGGGCGTTTCTTTCTTAGCGCTGCGATTCTCCGAGGTCTCCTGGCCTTTCCGCAGACAGCTGGGGCTGTCTCCACGCTGCTCCTAAGAGGGCCTGCAGGGTGCTGGTCTGCTTCCCACTCCGGTCTCACACCTCTTCCTCACCCACCCATCTAGCAAGCAGTTTGCTTTGTACCCCAGGATCCCGGGCGGGCGCAGGGCCTTTAAAACAGCAGCTGGAGGTGCTTCCTTTGACAGTGCAGGCTTTCGTCCTCTCTCGTGGTCCCTTTGCCAGTGTCATTTCTGTTTAAATGCCACGTCCTGGTGTGCCAGGTGTGGGGTTCAGGAAGGACTTTTCGGTAGCTGGGTAGACCGTGTGCGAGCGAGGCAGAGGAGGGGGCTTCACGTGAGTTCCCTGGCGTGGGCCGCGCGCCCTGCGTGCTGAGACCCACTGTGGGACTCGCAGCCTCGTGTAGAGACAGACCGTGGACATGAGGTTCAGACCGAGGGGCCTGGATTCCCGGTCACCCACTGGCTGCGGGACCTTAGGCAAGTTACCCAATAGCTCAGCTTTGTTTTCTCAGTTCTTAGGGATAATTATGGCTGCTCTGCAGGATTCTTAGACCAAATGTCTGCGTCTGATTTTTAGTAGATCCTGACTCAGTGTCATCTCTTAAGGTCCCACTGATGGATCCTAAAGACAACGTGTGGCATCGCTGTGACAGTGCCCGTCCAGGGTCCCAGTACAGTCCTCGTGGTCCCTTACACCCCTTCACTTCCTTTGGAAGGAACTACCCACCTGAGAGGCGGTGTATTGGGACGGTGCCCCAGGAAACTGAAGGGTGCCATTAACGTCCTGGAACCAGGTTCCTGTTGGTCAAGCGAGCGCTTGAGCTGTGCTTCCTGCTGGTTTTCACTGTTGCTCGCTCGCATCCCTGGGGGTCAGTGTTTGCCCGTGGTTCTGAGCCAGTGCAGGAGCGGTGCCCGTGAGCTGCCGTCTCACGAGTGGGTGGACGGCCCTGACCACGAAGCCCACACCCTCAGGGGTCTTGGAGGCTGCCGCAGGGAAGGGAGTTCTCTAAAACCCCATGTCTGGTCATTCCAACCTGTAAAGTACATTCCACAAAGAAATATTCATCTCAGGTTATATAATAATTTGAAAATTAATGCAAGAATTTCTTTAAAGTCACATTTTTATGAGATGGGGGTAGAAACATTTGTAGATGCATTTTCACGTCAATCCCAGTTTGCTCTTGTACATTCTCTAACGACTGAGCTTAATGGGAGATGCCCTCTGACACTCGGTGGCATCAGAACAAGCAGGTGTATGCACTTTACACATAGGTGATTTGCAGGAATTTCTTCCCCGCTCACCGTGGGAACATGTCCCCTGGGCACACAGCTTGGACTCGGTAGGAAAGCGCCCAGGTGGCCCTCCCCACCGCTGGCCTCTCATCGCTGGGCTCTTCCTGGTCGTGAATGGTGGCGTATGAAACACAGTTTTCTTCTGCTAATGGTTCCCTTTAAATACAGTTCTTACAAAGTCTTACTTCAAATAGAAAAGCACCATTTCTACCTTTTATTTCTGTGCCATCTTGAATTGAGATGTTAGATAATTCATACAAGAAAAATATGTCTTGTTAGAACTCCCTGAATCATAGAAGGAAAAAGCCAAAATGCTATTTCTTTTGGATGAATTCTGATTTTTTTCACCTTCTCCTTTCATTTCTTATATGTAAACAAGCCTTCTTTTCCTGTTTCTCTTTCTCCTTGTTTAAAAATGTTTAATTTTAACACAGTTCTGTCATGAAAGAGAGAACACAGATAAGCATTTGCCTGCCACCAAGATACAACAGGTGTCCCCGGGAGTGTCCCACTCCCGGGGTTTGGAGACGTGGAATGGCCTCTCCTCCCTTCCCAGAGGTCCTCTTCCTCCCTAGCCAGGCACTTGGGGCGCAGACCCGGTGGCTGGCGGGTGTCCTGTGGAAGCCACGTCACCAGCTCGGAGCTAGGTGGGGATAGATGCTGGAGTTTGAGGACAGAGAAGGTAAGACGCTTAGCTAGGAGGGCAGACGTGTGGTGGGGTCACACACCCTCCTCTTCCGAGCTAGATTACGGGGAACTTGAGAAACATTAAGTCAGTAATTTCTGAATCATTGTAATCTTTTTGAAGGAACAGACTCTTTCCCCTGATCTTAAAAGTAACATGATTGTTACAGAAAAGGAGACATTGTAGCGAATGTGCACAGTGTCTGCTCAGCCCTCACTCAGGCTGGGCCGTGTGGACCTGCGAGTGGAAGGCGCCGCCAGATGGGAGCAGAGGGGAAGCGGGACCGGAGTGAGGGCAGGCTGTGCGTGTCCAGCTAGATGGCGCCGAAGGCTCTCCTGGGCACGCGCTGACTCCTCATAGCACCTGTGCTACTGCAAGTCCCCTCCCCCGTGCAGAAGGAGGGGACCAGGACCCCTGAGACACGGTGGCTTTCCCAGGGCCACCCGGCATATACATCAGGGGGGTGAGGACCCGTTTCCACGCTCCGAGTCCAGGTGTGCTGCTGGGGAAAGGACAGCTGCAGAGTGTTGCCGCTGTGCCCAAAGACAGGTGGCAGTGGCATTGGGGGGGGGTGCTGTCCCAAGGGAAGCATCTCCTGCGGGTCCCTCCCGTGTGAGCTGCCGGCTCCATTGTCCTCTGCACACAGTCCCTTGTCAACATGCGTTCCTGTGAGAGCGCCGTTTCTTTTCAAGGCTGTATAACAAGGGTGCAGCTTTTAAAAGAACATTCTGGAATCTTAAACTACAGACACTCTGGAGAACCTATCCAAACCAATAAAAGGCTGAGGTTTGGCGCTAGCTGTGGACTCCCAAATCCTGAAGGGTGTCTCAGCACTGGTTTGTTAAAGCGGCTACTGAATTCCTTGACACTCCTGTTGAATTTTTGAGCAGAAGTATGTGAGGTCAGCTGGTGCTGGGAGCTTCTGTTGCGTCCCAGGCCTGGTTTGTTGTTTGGTTTGTTGAGAGGAAATGTGAAACAAACACAAATAGGAGATACATGTGACCTCAGGGAAAGCTTCGAAAGCCTTCCTTCACTGGACCCGGAAACTATTAGTTACCTTGGTAAGTAGGTGCCTGCTAACAAAGCCTTCAATGTGACTCTCACTCCATTGACACGCTCCATTGTGTGTTTTCAGTGTAACGCTGGGCTTCCGGATGGGGCACACTGAAGGACTAATGGCTGCCTTTGGTGGCTCCAAAGGGCGACCCTGCTAAGTGCCAGGCAGGGGTGGCAGAACAGAGTGGTCCTTGGCTTCCTTCTTCTGGTGCCAGGCTTGACTCTGAGCTGTGGTCTCCTTCTGTTATGCTCATAAGGAGCTGTGTTCTGGCGCACAGTAGGGGCACATGCAGGCGCATAGTGGGCACTCAGCACCCACCCGCGGACTGAGTGTGTGCACCAGCATAGCAGGTTGCCTGCAGTGCTTTTCCTGCTTGCTTGCCTGTTTTCAGTTTTGGAGGAAAAATGAAATGTAGACCTTAAAGTCATCAGTGAAATCTGGCCATTTGAACACAGCAAAAAATTCCCACAGTTTGATTTGTTTAGTTTTAATAAATGTTTGAGAATTTTCCCAGTTCCCTCCATCACATTCACCTGAGGGCCTCTGCAAATAGCCATGACTTAAAGGCCAGATTTACGAGTCTGTAGCCCACACACTGCAACACCCCCGAGTAATGGCAGCTTTATCTGTGGAGGCCGTGCATGGGCGGGCTCATTTACGAGCTGTTCGGCAACACCTCCGAGTCAGTTTGGGGAACTGGTGAACTGAGAGCCAAGAATAGCTCCAGACCGGAGTGCGCGTCCTGCACTGTGGCCCTTAGTCACCACCTTGGTCACTAGGTGTCATGCTGAGCGGCCCTTCGAGCGGCCCCTCAGCAGGTGGCCAGCTCTGGGAGCCTCAGCTGCTTGGCCTACTGCCCCCACCTCAGCCCGCCCGCCCCCCAGCCTCTGGGCCCTGGTGCTTCTGCCCACATGCCTCCCCCTCCGCCAGCCCAGAAGCCTTTGCGATGACATCCCCAGGTCCCACTGTCCTCATCTGAGGGGCGGTGACCCCAGCACAGTTGTGACGTGAATGACATTTGCCTTCTGGTGACAGTGACCTGTGACCTGGCTTGTGGTCCTGTGGACACCAGTGT